CCCTAAAACTAACCTAAACTCAATTCACACCTTGGTGCTAAACCCAACCCCCAACCCTCCAATGGCGTTTAAACCAAATGGGGACTCAACTTTTGTCCCCAAATGTAGGATTTTTGTCTTAAAATTGCCCCCAAATGTCACCAAAGCTGACCCCCCACCCACACACACACATAGTGTATATACTGAGACAAAAAAGAATTCAACAGATAAAGACTATGCTTGTGTTTGAAAGTACATTAAAGATTGTGATAGTATTTCTAATTTTGTACCTGACTCAGAACAGCATGATTCTATCAGAAAATAGTGCATTCTGCTGGAGTCAGCAGTTTCTGTTTTTGTGTTTTTGTGTATTTTTTTGTCATTTATTGCTTTTCTCTCTGGTTTCAAGTGAAGTTAATTCAGGAACTTTGAGGGAAAAAGAGATTTGTTATTTTAACCTTTATAAAAGCATATTCATGTGCAAGTTTTATAAACACCAGCTTCCATTGGTTTCAGATGCTATTGGAAAAAAACAACAACAACAACAACAACAACAACAACAAAAAAAACAACTAAAGCATAGAAAATACTTTCACTGACTTCCTGATGTCCCTTTTTCTGTTGGTCTTGCAGAAATACAAAAAGAGACATGAATACTTAATGGAACCTAAGAAAAATGATGCATGATGCAAAAATTTACTGCATAAATTTCGTGGATGTAAAAACTGGAGTATTTTTGTCCAAGTATTTTTTTCTAAATATCTACCGTAATCTTTCATCAGTATATATTCTAATTCTAAATCCAAATCATGTCACATGAAGCACTTCTACTTTTGTTGTTGTTTTGTTTTTTTCCTATATTCTATTTCATTTGTTATTCTATTATCTCCACAGGTTAACTTGGCCTTAAAGCAGAAATCAGACATTGAGCACTATAGAAATAAGCTGAGGCTGAAGGCGAAGAAGAAGGGCTATTATGATTTCCAGTTCACCAACGGCAGCAGCAATGGAGGTCAGGCCCTGTCGCAGAAACAGCGGAACGGCTATGAGAGGGAAGCCGGTGAGCATGGCAGACCTCTGGAGCCTGATGATGAGCGAGGTTTCACTTATGTCAAGTCTCAAAGGAGGTGAGGGGAGAGTGGAAAAAGCAAGTGGAACCTTGACTAAATGTAAACAGAAAAGCAAAGCTTCGCTACCCACAGTTAATCAACCAGAGAGGACTGCAGGTGACATGGACTTTGAATTGGTTGATGGGTTTTAAACCAAGGCCGATTACTCATCCCTGTCTAAAATGCTGCCCTCCCAAATCAGCTTATATTGTAGATACACGACACCCCCTTTTTCTGGGGTTGGTGTTATGCTATCTTAGAGGGCAGTTTGAGAAATTTGTGTAGCTCTTGTCCAGATTTTCAATTCTAGAGATAAGAGGATTGGCAGGGTGCTGGACCATTCACACTCAAGGGCTCGACACATGGGAGGCGACGTCGCTCGCTCTCCATTCATTTCCTATGGAGCCTGTGCGGTGAGGCGACAATCGCTYRCCCTCCTCCAGCTAAGCGACCGGCGAAAATAGTGCATGTGAAATTTCGCGCTCGTACACGTAGACGTGCACATGCGAGCTTGTGATGGGACATATGAAAGTTGAAAAATGTTCAATTTTTGTCGCTGTCGCTTAGCGTACAACCAATCAGCGAGGGTTTCATTGACTGACCAATGAGAGGAGAGTATGCTTCACACTGCAGTTAGCTAACACTTTCACCAAGTGATTACTAAAAAGCTTTGTGAGAATTTATTGGCASCAGGGTGAAGTTTATGGTAAGTTTTTCCTCATAAAACTGTATCTTGATGTGTGTTTGTTTTTCAATATCATTAGCATCGCAAGATTTGTTTAGTTTACACGTCTGTAATGCACACCCGCCTTCAGAGTCAAGAACCAATCAAATTTTGTGAAGACAAGCGACCTGAGATCGCGATTTGCAACGCTGCGATCGCTATCGCGTCCCGTGTGTCGGGTTTTCACCCTGGCTGCGATGACAGCCGCTAATCGCTGTAGTTTGTCGCTGCCCGTGTGTCGAGCCCTCCATTCTGTCCTTCCCAGATGCATCTAAGCACAAACTCACATACAGAAAATGAAATGTTTCCAGATTTTGTTCAAGTCTGTTAAAACGTCTCATTGATTGACCTTATTATTTTCCAGTGCTGTTGAAAGGTGTTCAGATGCCGTCACCCATCTGGAAATGATTTAGTTAAACTTTTCAATCCAAACACAACTCTTTACAGGAAAAACAACAACAAATATTTCTAGATTTATTTGGTAAATTCTTAAAAAGAAATTTTGAACTATAACCTTTACAAAAACACTCGGATCTTCCTTTTAGTGGAAAGCTTTAAATCATCCAAACACACCTTAAAACGTTTCAATAATTATTCTTCATCGACCATACTTCAATACAAACTGTGTTCAACTTTTGCATTTTTTAATAAAAAGATTGGATTGCCATTAAGAAATAATAATGCAATATAATTAGATTTTGCTTATCAGAACAATTGTTATGTGTGTTGTCTGTGATACTGTGTGCTGTTTGTTCTGTGTTGTTGTAAACAACAAACAAAACAACTGGACTTCTACTTTGAAACTAAAGACRTTTTGTGTCCTGTTCAAGAAGATGGAACTTCCTGAATGGGAAGTGAACCATCTTTAGTTTCAAAATAGAAGTCCAGATTTTTTTGTTTTTCAACCTTATTTTACTGATCATCACCTGGATGAGTGAGAATCTTCACCAGCAGATGCTGCTAAAAAAGTTTTATCTGAAATCGTTCAGATGATTAGTTTGTTGGTGTGCAGCTTTTTTCATGTTCGTGTTTTCGCACAATACAAGACCTGTTTCATCTGTGCCACAGCTTCCTGTAGCTTTTCCTAAGGGACTGCAATTCTTTCCCTTACCTTGTACAGTATATCAGGCCTGGTGCACGGAGACCAGTACAATTTATTGTAGTAGACATTTCCTCACTATCTTTCCCTGCATGTGCATGGAAGTTGAAAGAGTAATTTAAACACTTTGATTCAATAACTGCTGTACTGCAGGTTTGACTTCCATTGAATCYACTCCTTTTTACTSTAATTGGCAGGCAGTCCCAGGCAGGGCAGATGGCCTATTGCAGCAGACAAAGCCTGAGCAGTCCAAGCCCTGGAGGAACAGAGATGGACCTGCTTGTAATGAGAGAGCGACCCAGAAGAGGCATTCGAAACAGTGGTTATGATGTAAGTCACATGTTTTATAAACCCACAAACAAAAACCCCTTTCTGCTCAACTAGATCAGCCAATTAGCAGTAAAAAAAAATAATTTTAAACTATTTTTGTCATAGAAAAAGCTCATTGAGTATATTTGGTCAGTATAATCATTCCTGTTGTTCTTGCTGCAGAAGAGCCCCCTCATTGGGGCAAAAGCCAAATTCTTCATTTTATGAAACAATTTTTGCAGTTTACTGCATAAAAATCATCCTTTGTTTGAGTTAAACACAGTATATGCATTTCAAAATGACCTTCATTTTAGTTCAAAATTTCCCTGAGCGATTGTTTGTCTCTATATGTCCCTGTGATGGTCTTGCAACCTGTCCAGGGTGTGCCCCACCCCTCACAAAAAGACTGCTGGATAAGAGCACCGGTGGCCCTGAAAGGAAGAAGTGGGTTAAGATAAAGGATGGATGGATCGATGGATCGATGGATCGATGGATGACTCATAAATTTTTGTATTAGCTTCAGTTTTGTTCTTCCAAACAGGGTCACCAACTTATTGGGCATTTTGCTTTATATCTCGCAGTGACATATAATCTTTTATATTGTGATGAAATGGGACACTCAATTTCAAGTGGCACTATCATTTGTATTTATTGTGATTGAACACAATTACAAGCTTTAAAACTCAGAAGTGATTAAAGTTTCAATATTTTTCCTCTCTTTGTTACTGAAGACACTGAACAGATTTACAGATCAGGCAGGTGCTGTTTCAAGTAATCACCAACTGAAGGCAGATTAGTGGGTTCATTATAATTAAAAATAAAGACGACTACAATTTGATCGCATTGATTTATACTGAAGTGCCTCCATTTTTTCGTGTTCATGTTTTCCAGTCATGAACTAAGAATACAAAAAACACAAACAAGTAATTAAGCAGATTATTGTCAAACAACACTTTTTTATTGGAAGCATTTCCCTGAACTTCCTTCGACTATCCTGTTATTTGAGTTGCAGAAGTAAAACCCAAGCTGGTGCTGCCTGCTTAAAAGCATAGACAGTTAAATGAAGCTTCTGTGTGGATTGATATTGTCCTTGTCCTACAAAGGCAAAATAAACCTCTAGACAAATCTTTTTTCACTACCATGATGAATTTTGGGTTTGTACTGTAGTTAAACTCTGTATCAAGCTGTTCAACTCTATTGTAAAAGTGGCAAAATAGCAATATTTAAAATGGTAAGTGGTATTTTTTTATTTTATTTTGGACTTGTTAAATACAAAGGGGCTGTTCTGGTTGCAGATGTGATTCTTCATGTTCAAGGAGGGCTGATTTATGAGGTGCACTGTGCTGTGTCTCCTGTGGCCGCCCTCTTTTCAAACAGGAAGTAGGGCAGCCTCAGATTGTATAAATTTGTCACAGAGTTCAAAAGCATAATGGACACAATAAAAGGTGTGAGATTAAGAACAATGAGAGGAAATGAAAAGTGTGCAAAGAGCAGAGATAAGGAACAAAACAGTTGAATGTTTAATGTGGGTTTGTTACTGCCACAAATCTAAAACCATCAAATGCAACTAAACTATTTAGTTTTGTCTCCAAGTTTTGTTTATTTTCATGTTTGATGTTTGTTTTACTTGTAAAAGTTTAGGAAAAAGTGCGTCAGTTTTACCTAAGAGTGGTTTTTGCTTTGTGCATGTGTTATAGACCGAGCCAGAGCTGATCAAGGAGACAAATATTGATCATCTCATGGGGCCGCGACGGTACACATACGGGAGAGGATTAAAAGGACACTCAGAGACGTCCACTTTGAGCTCCCAGCCGTCCATTGATGAAGTACGACAGCAGATGCACCTGCTGCTGGAGGAGGCGTTCAGCCTCGCTTCTGGGGGGCAATCCACTACTGGAAGACACACCCACCACCAGCAACACTCCTCTGACCACTACAACTCAGCCCCGCCTCCCCTTGCATACGCTGATGTGGTAACCAGTGTTCCAGGCACGATGAGCTCTGGGCTTGGTGGTCTGCAGTGGGTACCGTCTTACGCAACCGATGTATATCAGTGCAGCCTGCCTAAACCAGTAAGTTGGTTAAGCTCACACAGTTTTTCTAGTAACTTATGAAGAAGAGAAGTCTTTCCCTTAAAAAAAAACATTCTGTGTTTTTAAAGGCTTTTCGCTTCACTCAGCTTCCTGAGATGGCCTTGGGCTCCCCTCCTCCTTTACCACCTCGCACCGGGCCTCCTCCCAAAACACCTTTAAGACGGTAAAGATGAAAACTGAGGCACACACTCAGCAACACAATGAAAGGTCATTGATATAATACAATTCATGATTCTTGCAGTTCAAAGTGTTTTACTAATTTACACAATAGCAGAAATGAAGTTGAGTAAATGTTTTACAGATCACATTGTAGCTGCACCAAAAATCATTTTGGAGCATTTTATGAAGCTAGACATATTGTAAAGAGCAGTGCAACATTTCCCCATTGAGCAAACACTTGTGAGTGAGGAGAAGAAACTGGGAGTCAAAACTTCAAGAGTAGAGAGAAAGACAGGAAGTATTGAGACTAATAATATCCCATCTCCTATCCGAACACCTGCACTGCTTCAAACCCAGAGGTGTCACACTAATTTTCACCGAGGGCCACATGAGCGTTATGGTGGCCCTCAAAGGGTCAGTTGTAATTAACTTTGATGTATCATGTTCAGCTTCAACTAAAAACAAAATATCTCATTACTCGTCTTGTTGCTAAGACCGGTAACCACTAACAAACAATAAATGAGCTCTATGTGGTGTTTTGTGCATGGAAACAGCTTCTTACTTTTAAACACTAAAAAGTACTAGATGTACAACTGACTAATTGTGACACAAATAATACAGAAACACTGTTRAAAGTAAAAGTAAGAGTTCACCGTTGAGTTGTGGTGAGTGGCTGCCGTTTTGAATTCTGAACTCTCCCACTTTCTAACAGGGAATTCCAACATGCATTAGAGGGGATGTAGTTTATGGTCTTTAAAGCAGCTTAATTTGAGMTTTTAATACAATGCTATTCAACTAAACTGCTCAGGAGCCAGACAAGTATTATATTTCATCCTTTAAATGTGTTTATTTTGTTGCATTGTATCATAAACATAATGTTTATATTTTATATAAAATATATATTTTTAATTAGGTAAAAGATATAACTACACCTCCCATGATGGCAGGCCACATGGAAGTCATCTGTGGGCCATGTTGGCCTTGAGTTTGCTCTACCCTATGAAGTCATAAACAGTAACAACTAAAATATTCCACAGCAACATGGAATACCCCTTCAAGAAGTCAATCACTAATTCTTTTATGTAAATAAAATTGTCAGTATGCTCATATTTGCTGATATAAATCTGGTTATCTGGCCTGCAGAATATATTGCATATGCTATTTTATTAATCTTTTTGCAAAAAAAGGTACATCATTACACATCACACTGAGCATTTCAGTGTTTGTGACAACTGGGGTTTGGCAAAACAAACTACAGATCCATGCAGAAATACAGACACACTTTGCCTTCTGCAAACCTTTAAGATAGTATTGATTTAATCACATTAAAATTCATATTCAGGGACTATGAGGAGACAAATTGTGGCCAGGGTGGTTTAAGGCSTGGTATATTATTGTATATTAATTCAGGGCATTGAGCAGAATATTAATGAGGCGTTCACTTTTCTACGTGGGATGTGTCTGCCATCTAGTGGTGTAGTCTTGCAGCAGTTTTTTTTGGTCATCCTTTTTCTCATTCCTGTACATCATAGTTCTACGTCAGACTTGGGGCCTAAGGGAAGGAGCACAGAAACATCTGTCGCTGAACTGCGGAGTCAACATGAGATCAACCCATATGGTTCGACCGCTAGAGCAGCACTTCCACCCATCACTGCAGAACAGCCTGTGTCAAACTATTCAGGTAAGCAAATATGAAAATGGCAAGAACTACTTTAAAGAGAAAGCTGTGCTTTGACAAAAATGAAACATTTTAAGCCAATCTGTGAATCTCACAATGTTTCTTTGCCACAGGAAACCCAATAACAGCTGTCTACTCCATCCCAGCTACCAGGACGGGCTACTCAGAGTATTTTGTCCCCACGTCGCCCACGTCCTACCACAGTCCCTCTTGGATGTCCTATCCACCGGAGCCTGAAGATGTTCCGCCACAATGGGCAGACTCTGTAAGATCCCCCAATATTTCTGGCCTGTGAGTTGAGCCCACTGAAAAATCTAGTGGAAAAAAACAACATGACCAAGATGTTGAGATTAAACTTTACAGACCATCCAGCAGTGGTTCAAGTTCCCCGTGCAAAATTTAGTCCTATTATTGAAAACTTGAATGACTATTGGAAAACTTGTTAATTTTGGTTTCAACCAGATATTGGACAACTTATAGAATTGCTATAAACAAAACTAAAGCTCTTTCTGTTGTTTGGATAGGTGTAAAGTTGGATGTGGCCTATAAAAATCCTGTTGCTCTCTCGTCTGTTCATTCTGTTCAGTCAGGCAGAGCCAGAAAACTTGTTAGTTTACAACAATGCAAAGGCAAAACAGAAAACGCACCATGTGTTGGTGCTTTTGTCTTAATAGTTTTGTATATTTAGCAGAATGCCACAATAATTGTACTTACGATTTATCCTTGTTTGTCAAGCATTCTTCTATTTCCTTCATTTATAACATCAAATAAGAGATTCCTCACCAGTTCTTTGAGATATGYTGTTGTAACCCACGAGTCTCCTCCATTCAGCTTTTTTCATTTTTTTATGAAATATGTTTTTTTTCCTGCATCTACAAATGTTTTAACAAGAAAACTTTATGCAGCATGCAGACATGAACTGACTTGAATTTAAGAATGTTGATCGATTTTAACATTTTCTTTTGAAAAGTACTGGTAGCTGTTTTCCTTTCAAAACACAGATTTTTAATGTTCTTCCGCTTATCTGTCTTTTCATTATGTTTCTTATACTGTATATTATTTTATCCATCATCAGATCATTTTAATCAGATATTATCACCCTTTGATATGTCTTTGTTCAACAGTGAAGCAGGAGAAACTGTTCACTCAGCGTACAGYAATAAAGTGAAAATATGGAGGATGAAGTTTTTTTGATGCCCTGTCTCCTTGGGTTTTTCAGGTACCTTTGCCCGGGTATGTAGAGGCTTTTCCTAATCCTCGTTACCCAAAAGGGAGCCCCAGCAGGCTGCCACTACAGTATAACCAGACTCTGGAGCAGCCWCCCGCTGCCCCCAGCACAGCGTCTGAGCAAAGCCTGCCCCAGGTGCTGAAGGACATGGACAGCATGCCCCTGAGCAGCCTCTCCACCTCAGCACTCGTGCAGGCTATAAGGCAGGAGGTGGCGAAGCTGGCCATGAAGCAGAATGACATGTTCGAGTTTTAAATTCTGCTCCCGGCTGTGCGTTGTTCTTCAACAGAGGCACACAAAAGCGGCGCTCCGTCAGAGACCCCATTTTTAAAATTTGTACTGTTCAACAGACTTCTCTTCTATACCTGCTGATTATTCATTTCTTCTCACGCACAGCTGATGTGATGTCAGCCCTTGAAAGGATGGAACAAAAGACGATGTTTTAATTTTAGAACAAAAGAAAAATCCATTCTCTTTGAAGAAAAGTAACCATCCACCTGTCTTTGTAGATGTCAATAGAATACAGTAAAGGTCAAAACGATTTCCAGAATCAGGAATTGTTTTTTTTTCCTTTTTTTTAGTGATTGACATGGTGAACACAAACATTACCAATATTATATGTACTGAGAGGACCAAATTCTTCCTGTCAGATGGTTAAGTATAAATCACGGTGTAAATGAGCATGTGCAGTTTAAGGACATCATGTATCTAATCTCCTTTTACTGAGCATCAGCTTAAACAAGACGGGCTCCATCAGCGTCCACTCATTTCAGAATCCATCTCATATTAGGTTAACAAATTAATTTTTTACAAATAATTTCCTTTTTTTAAAAAAAAGAAATGTTTCTTTACATGTCAGATAACAGAAACATATTTATAACACAAACAGAAAATGTCATCAGTAAGCTTGTGATTTTTTTAAAGGTTTAAACTGGATTTTATGGTAATTAACAAATGGCCTAAACACAGCTTAAATGTATGTGTGTTTTCCGCTAAACCAAGTTTAACATGATTTAAGATGAACTGTTGATGATGATGATGATGCAACTTACAGATGGAATGTTTGTTCATGTATGAATTATTATTGTGACATTAGGCTGTGCACAACATACGCAGACTTGGTGAAAAGTTATGAGTGCACTCAAAAAATGAAATGTTGGATTAACTTAACCATGTTATGTTACCTGGTTCCACTTAACTGAGTTGAGTAAATTCAAAGCAACATATTCATGTTCTCTGGCTAAAAAACTGGTATATTGCTTTGAATTTATTCAACTCAGTTAAGTGGAACCAGGTAACATAACATGGTTAAGTAAATCCAACATTTCATTTTTTACAGTGTGGCTAATGTAGTTGAATACTCTGAGCTAAACGTTTTATTTTATTTCTTGAAGCAATCAGCCTTTTCTTTTTCATAAATCCAAAATAAAATAAAAAATAAACAATTGAACTGAAATCACCAGATATGTATACGAACATTATCATTTGTCAGTTTTATATTGAGTTCTGTGATTCTAAGTGGCTCAGTTGATTCATTCCACAGAATAAAAAGAAAATATATATGTAGTCATTCACTTTGGTGGATCTAAAGTTTCTATAAATTTAAAATATGATCAGTCACAGTAGCTTGACCATTCATGTACTATTGATTATGTTTSTCAGAAAAGACATTCGACAAATCAGGACAGGAGCTAAAATCATCTGAGGGTTCCTGGTGTCTCTTACTGAGTCGTTCATAGCAGAACCTGTATGACCAGTCTTTTTAAAGTTGGGMTCTCTGTGGATTGATTATTCCCATTAATGATTCAGAATCCATTTCATTTTTTTCTTGACGTTTAAAGAAAGATGGGGATCGAAGGTGTTTAGTCTGACAAAGTGACAGCAGGGTAAATGTCTGACAGCTTTTCCCAACAAAATACAACATTTTACCAAGATGAACAGACAGAGTTCATAACATTTCACTGATTTGTGGAAATAATATTTTCTCTGCACAAAGTCATGGTTCAGTGGACACATTAGTACAATAATGCAGTTCATAGCTTATTTTTTGACGTGATGGTTTTACATCTAAAAGCCCTGATGAACATTCTGTCATATTTTCAGTATAATGAAACCTCAGTGTGCCTTCATTCATCTGGTTTGTAATGGGCTTATTGAATGTAAGGGAGAGATTTACTTTAAAATTACTTTTAATTCCCTAAATTATGAGTAAAAGTGTTATAAAATCAGCCAGTTAAATGGCAAAACAACACAAGATCCATTTTATCAATTTTTTATCAATACAAAACTGGCCCAAAAAAGAAAAGAAAAGAAAAAGAAAGAAACTGAATTGAACCAACAGAGACAAAAAAAAAAAAATCCAAATAGTTGTTAGACACAATACATTATGTTGTATAAAAAAACTAATTTTTTTGCTGAAATGAAAAGAATCATGATGTCTTGATCGTTTAGGGACAGAGAGAAAAAAGGTCAGTTGTATTTTTGTGACATTAATGAAGTTTGTCAAGTTTTCTGATAGATTTGACTTCAACATAAAAACATCAGATCAGACATCTGCCAAGTTAACATCTCCACCTCTATCACAATCTTCTACCACTAATCTGTAGTCAGATCGCAAAGTCAGCAGCTCCACGAGAGAAACTCAGACATCCCTCTCTTCAGTGACACTATCTGTAGTAATAAATAATGACTTGAAGAGGCTTTATTGGTTTAAATAATTATATAAGAATATATTTTATCAAATTAAAGTAAGCTAAATCTATTTAAAAAGTCAAAGCTTTTTTTTTTTGTCTTTCCATGTTTCCTCTTTCTGTTTCCATTTGCAGCTTGATCCTGGTGTGTTTGATGTTCTTCAGAGATCAATATGGTGCTGGAGACAGAGGGAAATATTAGCTGACATAATTAAAAATCAATAAAAGATTTTATTATAAAACCCTTTGGCAGTCTGTAGTGTTTACTTTCCGCATGTGACATTTTCCCAAAGGAGTGATACTGAAAGAGATGAAAGCAGTTGTTTTAAAGTTTCCCTTTCAGACAAGTCTGTGGCACTGAACAGGAACTGTATTGGAAACTGTACTGGAAAAGCTTTCAGAGACAATGATGATTGCTCATAACTGTAGTTATTTATTATCTAGAATAATAACAAATTGATGCATTATAGTATAAAACACACACGCACAATAAAAATACTTTGTTGAAGTCACAACAGTTTGCACAGTCCATTATTACTATTTACTATCTATTTATTTTACCTTCAGACACAGACTGAATCTTTTATAGGACAGCAAGTCCTTTAATGATCAGTTCTCCCAAGTGCTCAGACAGTGGGGTCCTCAAGGGTCTCTGTCCTGTATCTTCCAGCTCTTCAGCAGGTCTTTAAGTGCTACAGACGCCTGCCAATCACCTATTTATTTAAAACAGGTGTGTCAAAGCAGAGAAACATCTAAACATGTAGAATAGGACCAGTATTGGACACCTCAGCAGTTCCTGTTCCAGAAAATGTGTCCTGCTGTGATGAGAGTTCAGCTTATATTTTCTCTGCCACCATGTCTGTTATCGTTTGTTTGTAAGGGAAAAATATTAAAATGAATAAATCTGAGGGAAAATGTAAAACAAGGCCTGATTGTAAAAATTAAATTTAGTAACTGAGTAGTAAAACCGCTGGTAAAAAGGCCAGAACTATATTTCTTTTTTGGATTTATTTGATACATAAAATAGTATAAATGCATTTGTCTATGTGGCCATATGCAAACAGTAACTCTGAGCTTTACATTAACTCAAAGCATAATTTGAAAAAAAGCTATTTTTTAAGGAACTAATCCTTCAAAGTCTGGATAAAATGAAACTATTGGATCCTGAACAACTATTCAAATCCACAAAATGACATTTCTGTAGCCCTGCAAGGGCAATAAAGCTTTGAACAAATCAATGTCCTCTGTGATTGGCCACAGGAGCATTGGTCTTTGTTGTGATTGGTTGTTTGGCTGCCAGTTTACATAGGTTTGTTCTAGGCCTTTGAAAAGATCCAACAATTGTCAGTTTTATAAAGAACGGACTACATGTGTGATTATTACTGCTAAAATTTCATCAAGCAAAATCGAAAAGATCAGAAATTCTCATTTTTCATGACAAACTGATCCAGTTATCTGTTGTCAGAAATATTCATACAACCAGAATAAAGAATAATTAAAGTTACATGTTGATTCAGAGTTTAGTACCTGTCTACATGCCTTATTTCTGAAAAACTCCATTAGGATTTTTTTTGTTTGTTACCTTTACATGTGTTGTCTTTAGTTTAACATGGATTCTGTAATTCATTATATCTCCACTAGAGCTCAGCCTAAAACCACACATACCACCAGAAGCTTTCCTTCGATCAAAAATGTGTAATTCATGTTGAAAAGGTGAAGTGGAAGCATCTTTTTTTCTTTTAATTTTGATAAAATTGCACTAAAACAATACCGGCTTTTATGTAGAACGTACTTCTTCAGCAACATTGACAGGAATACATAATACATGCAGAATAATCTGACAACGAGGTGCACATCTGAATTATGTAGAATAAATTAACAAGTTGCTTTAATATGCACATTCTAATTTAGTGGTGGATGTAAAAAGTAAGAATACCAACGCTGCATTCAAACAGCACAGCATTTTGTTATTGCAAAATTATCATAACTTGGTTTTATAGTGGCTCTGCACGTTATACAAATTTTGCCACAGTCTGTTATTTGCTGTAAAATGTTGTGCATTCTTACAATTGTGTTCAGACTTGTTTGGCTCCTCACCTATCACTTTGTAGTTATGATTTATCTTTTTCGTATTAAAACCGAAATTAATTCCGTGACATGCAGAACACCTGCATTCTGCATGTCACTGTATTTGAATGTTCATTCTTCTTTTGACTATTGCCTCTTCCATGCAGGGTGTAGGGGTGGTTAGAGCCTGATTTGGCAATTGTAATTAAATGTGATCTTGCTCCAAAGGTCCGTTATCTCTGATAAAGGCTACTTAAAGTAATTACAAGACAAACCTCTGAGCAGAAATCAGCTCAGAGATTTATTGARACACAGTGGTCAAAGCAAGGACAAGTCAAGAGAGGAAAACCAGACCTGAAATAACTTTTTTTTAACTAAACCTTCTGTGACATAAGAACCTTGTTACAGTGATAAACCTAATTCAGGCTGAGCAGAGAAAAAATTGAATTGTATTGTAGCTTCAGGAAGAAATGAAGAGACGGTTMATGATTTATCCAGATTTCTGTTTTTATGATAAAACAAAGCTCAGTATAAAAAAGTGTTTTATTAGCTGAACCCTTTTGGAGTGGTGAAATCTTGACATAAAATCCAATAAGGTGGGGGATTAAAAGCCAGACTCAGAACAAAACTGAATTGCAATAACTGTGGAAGTTTTGAGCTTCATTTAAATAGCTCTACCACCTGTGGTTCTGAAGCCAAAGGTCCTCTGAAATGGCTCCTTGTGTGTAACTCTGACTGTTTATTTTTTTAAAAAACACATGGCAAGGACATCATTTGATCAAGAACATTTATGAAATTTGTTCTACAGATAAATATTATATAAATATTATATATAATAAGATGACTGTTTACTTCTTTTATTTTCTTACAATTTTGATGTACTTGTATAAAATACACTAGAGGCTGTCCAAAATACTTAACCAAGGAGTTGCAGCATCACCCTCACATTACTACTGGGGAAAAAAAAGGTCATCTGAGACTTTACATCCTTTCTACTTGTCAGTAAGAAAATATTTAATGTACAAAAAAAGGAAAAGAAATCCATACTGTGGTTAAGTTGTTATGAAAGAAACTTTAATGTAGAGTTTGTCTGATTTACAGCATAATTGGACCTGCAGTGGATCATAATAGCTTCCATGTATATATTTGTAGCATCTTTCAAAATACAGGCAAATTAGTGTTTCTAAAGACATTCACTTGTAAAAATAGAACATAAAGTCTGAACTTTGGAAACACCATGTACGGAGGAAAGTGGTAAATTACATACATTTTTCCCAGCAGTTATTTTTTTATATGAGCACTCGTTTCACTAAGTCTTGGGAAAGCAGGGGGTTTTACCATGGTGAAACAACAAATAAATGAGTTTAATGATTTCTTAACACTCTTACAGTCCTGGTGTGAGCCCTTCCAGGTACAAATAAACTTTAAAATAAAAATATTAACAAGCAAATAAAT